TTATTTTCACTCCAGGACAGTGAGGTTTTCGCATGACCCCAAATCATGATCGTAGAACATGAAAACAATGAAAAACAGTGATTATCTTTTACATTCCAAAATGAGCCCTTAAAACTCAGAGACAAGTTTTAAAAGTCAAGGTCTTGGATTTCTAAGAACCAGTTTGGGGAAACATAAAATTAGCTAAAATTTGCTAGCCAAAAGTCTGGATGTATTGACACAATCCTGTGCTGGTAAGTGGGACTTCACAGAGTCTTCGTAGTATCAGCCACTCGGAAGATGCTTTATGGAGAGGCTGTCTTCTGGGTAATCCTCCCTTGGAAATAAAGAGTAATTGCGAGGAAGGGGAAGTGAAAGAGGCTAGGAGTGGAGATTAGGTGAAAAGAGACATTCCGAAAGGAGCCTCATGGATGGCACCCACGCATGTGCACACACATGAAACCATGTACACTCCTCACCAGGGCTCTTGCCTTCAAATGTGTTCCATTGCAACATTCACAGTCCTTTCCTGCCTCCAAACCAACAGCATGGAGAAGCGGGAAGAATTTCTGCAGTAGCAATTTGACAAGTCTAAATCAGATCATCCCCCTTTCATAGATCATGGTGGTATTTGTGATCACAGTACACTATTACCCTTGTTCATCCAGACTTCGTCTGCATCCACCACATCTTAAAGCCACTTTAAACTTGGCCAACAGATATGCTACTCTACATAGCTAGCAGTGAACTTCACCTTCATCTTAACCTATAGGGATGATGTAATTTGAATATATTACATATTTCCCTCAAAATTATATAAATATGTGAAATTCATATATGATTAAGGGATTGAAGCTACAAAGTTATTTGTACATATATTTAGAGCAGCTCTCACATTATGCAGAAATTTCTGTGTTTACATGTCTGTCTCTCCCACTAGACTGTAAGTATTTTAAGTGTCAGAACCATTTTTGTTGGGAAAACAGCAATGCCTGACATGCTATTCAATTAATATTTGATAAATCAGTGAACGAATGTACACATGTCCAGGGACAATGTGGCTAAAAGCCCAGATTCTGAGATCAGACTACCTGGATTCTAATTCCAGCTCCATCCTTACTAGCTGTGTATGTTTGGACAAGTTACCTTACCTCTCTATTCAGTTTTTTTGTTCCTAATATATGTTGAAATCACAATACTATATACTGCATAGAAAGTATACACACATAGAATGCAAGTGTCTGACACAAAATACTCAATAAATGTTATACTATTATTGTTGAAATTCAGGATGTCTGAACACTGGAGCTACCAAAAGACTCCTAGCATTTATCTGGTTTAATCTCCAATTCTACTGAAGAAAACCCCATTTTGTAAGACTTCATTTCATAAGCTGAGGCATGACTCAACCTTCCAAAATGTGAACGAGTTCCCAGGCACAGGTGGTGGTGAGCAGCTGTTTTCCATCTCTGCTGAGGACCAGTTAAGAGTCTTAAAGAGTCACAGGAGTGATTGGAGTAGAAAGTATTAGAAATAGCTTCCTAATGTTTGAGGAACCATGGGCTGAAACCTCAAAGGAAGCCATGGAATCCCACTCTGTTAAGAATTCTTTAAAAATTGGGTAGGTTAACTGGCTCTCTCTAAGATAGGTAAGGGCCAGGAAAACATCTCACAGTAAAATAACAAACAGTTGGCAAAGGTCATTTGAGTTTGACCTAAACTGCTGTTGACCCTGATTATCTGGAAACAGGAATATACAAAAAGGAAGAAAGTATAGGAAGAAGATTTCTCTACCTAGCACGATTGTAATGAAAACATTTTCATATGCTGTTAATCCTCGTTCAGAATAACTTTAAATCTCATTAAGAAACCATTTCTAAAGGACCTGAATGAATGATGCCTGGTATAAGTATGGCCAATTAATGAAATGAAAACAGGCCGTTGTTGAGGCCACATTTTGGGACAACCTCAGTTAAGTACCTAACATTCTGTTGCTTGCAGATCATGCTTCATGCAATTTCCAGCTTAAGGCAGCAAATAGAAGAGGAGAAAAGTCACTTCCATTCCACTCTCTGGTGGAAAAAGTGAGAGAGAAACTCACGTGATTGGAGAGACCCAAATTACATACCTATTATTCTTTTCAAGCAGAAAGAGGGTCTTGCACATTCCGTCTTGGGTAGAAAGTCTTCTGATTTTAGTGAAGAAGTAGATGCAGCCTCTTGCTCCTCTTCTTGGTTACTCAGACGAAGATACCAAAAAGAAAGAGACTTTCTAGGGTAAAACAAAGCTAGCAGAGGCTTTGATCCTGAGCAACCTGAAGCCTGGGAGAAGGCTGAACAGAGAGGACACACAGGTGACTGAGGACTCGCGGCTCATTTACAGCTCTATAGCCACATGAGGGCATTAGACAGAGGGCTGGAATGGTAACATGTGATACAGACCCTGAAATGGAATTTAGTGGTTTGTTCACTTTCAAATTATAGAACATTACATTTAAATGTTTTCCTATAAATACTGAATTATGTGTATATGGCAGAATCATAAATTTGCCCACTACTACTCAGCTTTTCAAGGAAACTATGGTTTATTTCGTATGACTGACCTATTCTTCCTCCAAGCTTGGACTCTGTTGAGAAGGAGCTGAAAAAACAAACTTGCCAATTAATAATATCTTAGGCTCTTCCCTTTCGTACCATGTCTTTTGATCATTCATTTTTTGAGAGAGAAAGAGAATTCTGTTCATTCTCTCTCCCCAAACAGCTCACGGTGACGGAAAAGAGGGCTATGACCTTCACAGTGTGACCTATTCATTGCTGGTGATTTGTCTGGCCCACTCCTGACCTTTTGCCTTTTGGGAGATTACTTGTCCCATCTGGCCTTTGGGGTCATTATGCAATTATTCCCTGCTAGTCTACACTACAGCAGGCTTCAGGGAGCTCAGAGCTCTGCCTCAGATCCCCAAAGCCAAGCTGCTATGGCTCCCCAGACACATTGGACATATTGCCAAGCCAAAGCCGGCTTCTCCTCAAGTCTTGCAGCCTCCCTTCCCAAGGTTACCAGGCGAGCTAGAGGAAAGGGCCACTAGCCCAGTGTGCTCCCTTTCATAGCAGTGTATATCTGTCACAACCTACTCTATTTCCCAAGCCTCCACCTTATAAAAGGAGAAAACAATATTTTCTTCTGACAGCTGCACTTGTTTCACCAAAACAGATTTCAACCATTTGAAGTCGTAAAATAACCATGACTTTTAGCAATACCACCACCACTACCCAAACAGCACAGATGAGCAACTAAGAACTGGGAGTGACCCCAGCTCCTCAGACCCTTACTGGACCTAACCTAACCAATGAGCAACTGGGCTTGTTTTAACCAAGCATACACAGATTAATAGACACATTCTGACTTTGCCAGAGTAAAACCTTTAAATTATGAATCACCATAAACACCAAGAACCTCCTCCCTTTCTAGTGCGTAGAAACCCTGACTCTTCCTCTTCACAAAGTATATTCATTGCTCTGTATTCCTTTGGCTGGGAGGTAACTAAACTCAGTGCTTGCTTTGTTGAGCATAACAGTAGCCACTGGTATTCCATGAATTCTCTTAACAGGAGGAGGACAAGAGGACACAGGCATCCGATGTCTGCGCCTTCCTCTTTGGTCTGCACTCTCTCCTCCCTAAAGTGCTTTATTTCTTGGACAGGACCTCCCCTACACCATTGTGCCCTTGGGCACAAAGCCTCATGGCCTAATGTTGGTGTTAGAAGGGATGCAGGAAGAGAAACTGACTTGGCAATGACACATATTGAGAAGTATGTTTTAATCATCATCCCTGTCCTATACAGATATCAAGAACAAAAAATCTATAGTCAGATCTGGTAGGCCCCCAAAAACAGTCAAGATCTTATTAGATTGCAAATTAATAATAAAAGACACCATAATAAAGTCCAGTTGAGCTTTGAACAATGCAGACATGATAGGCACTGAGCCCTGCAAAGTCAAAAATCCACATGTGATTTTTGACTCCCCAAAAACTCAACTACTGATAGCCCACTGTTGACCGGAAGTCTTACGGATAACATAAACAGTGTATTAACACATATTGTATGTGTTATATGTATTATATACTGTTTTCTTCAAGTAAGCTAGAGAAAAACACATGATTGAGAAAATCATAAGAAAGAGAAAATATATAGGCTCTCCATTGAGTGAAAGTGGATCATCATAAAGGTCTTCATCCTCATAGTCTTCACATTCAGTAGGCTGAGGAGGAGGAAGAAGAGGGGTTGGTCTTACTGTCTTGGACAGGCAGAGGCAGAATAAAATCCAAGTACAAGTGGACCCACACAGTTCAAACTCAGTTTGTTCAAGGGCCAACCGTACTTAGCATATACCAGGCCCATTTCTAAGGGCCTAACTCATGTAATTTTTGCAGTGTTCCTATAAGACAGGTACTATGATTATTATCATCTTAATTTTATAGATGAGAAAACTGAAATACAAGACAGTGAGGTAACCTTGCCCAAGGTTACAGGGTGAGCTACAGATGAGCCAGGATGCAAGACTAGGCAGTGTGGCTCCTGTGAAACATACACTAATGCCACAGCACCACCACTGGATGTCAACATACCAAACTGAAGGAGCAGCAGCCTTTTAAGGAAAAAAGGGGAACAGCATTTACTGAGGGCCCTCCAGGTGCAAAACATTTATGCATACATTTTCTAATTTAATCTAAGAGGTTAAAACAACTTTTTATGGAACAAAATACACAACATTTAGTTTAGTTAGTAAAGTGACTGACTTGCATCACAGGAGCTTTTTGTTCATATTTTTTAAATTGGAAAAAGAATAACATTAAAGTAGACTTAGAAGTTAAGAGGATCTGTCCCTAGATTCTTCATTAACAAAGGGCTCTTTCCAGCTATTCACACTTGATCACACAATCAAATCATTATTAGAAAGACTTCAGGGAAGAGACCACCAATGTACTGTCTTCCTCTGCAAAAATCAGCCAGAGACAAGCACTTGCTATAAAATTATCTGGGTTTAATTATTATCAACATCAGAACTATAGAACATTAACATACTAAACCTGTATTTACAATTACATGTACAAAAAAATGTTCTTTGTGAGGAGCAATTTTCAGCAAATCTGACAAACAGCAAGAGTCATTCCTATTTTGGGTTTGAAAAGAGAAATGGAAATTTCCAAGACGCCCCCCTCCTCCCTCTCACTCCAGTGACCCTCCGAACATCAATTTGCAAAGGCCTGAGGTAGAAAGGGAGGTATTAACAATATAAGGCACTCATTCTTCCCCTCTTATGAAAGGGATGAATTTTTAGGAACTGCTTTCCATCATTTATTATACTGATGTGCCATCCATCTGCATCATTAGGTTCAGTAGTTACCATGACAATATGATGCCTAGAGCAATCTAACTTGATAGCCACATGCCAGAATGTGAAAAAATAGGACCAGCTAAGAAAGTGAGAGAAATATAATTAATCTGAACCACATTAAAAAAAAAAAAAAATGTGCACAAAACTAGGACCAAGAGGGAAACTGCTGAAGTATCATTGAAGAGGAAATTATAAAGGGCAGTAATAATCAAGTTTCAGTATAAAAACTTTGCTAAGTAGAGCCATGTATTGGTCTATTACTAAGACAGGAAGAAGTCCAAATTGGTCTAGAACATTGTTCTGAGCTCCTGCCCCTCCCCCGCTTCCCATTTCCTGCTACAGGGCTCTGTGGTCCCATCTTTGATTCTAGCTGTTAGGGCCCTAATTTCCCCAAGGCTCTCAAGCCACCACCATAAGTGCCACCACTATGTCACTCTGCTCATGTGCAGTCTGCTATTAGACCCAGACCTGCCACCTGATGAAATAATTTCCGGCATTCTGAAGCTAATCTTAAGAGACTGAATTGTGCTGTGTCTTGAGAGATCCTGTCTTCTTGCCTTCTCAGTGACTGGTGGAGACATCGGGCTGACACAAACCTCTTGAGGGTCCCAGTATGGTAGAGAGGGACTGGGAGATTGAGAAAAGGAGAGCAAGCAAAGTTGTGGCGATGAACCTGGGACGCGTGTTTATTCTCAGCATGGCTGAGTGGGATAGCGACGCTGAGCTAGGCGATTTGGCCGATTCAGGCTAGTGGCCATGGGCAGCTGGAAAAGAACAAATATTACACTGAGTACAGCCCCAAACATGACTCTGCCCGGGATTGATTGGATGGATGGAGCTAGGGCACCCTGAGCCTCTGTGTAGAACATTTCCCAAGGTTGTGTTCTAATTATCTACCTCCACCCAACACCTTCACCCAACTATGGTGAAAAGAAATTGGATTTTATAAAGAGAGGAGGCCAAATGAGACATTAGCAGAGCTAAGTCTACCCAGTTTGCTGAGGAACAGGGAACTTAGCTTCTCTCAAAGTTTCCAGTGATCCCTTTATCCCCAGGACAGACTGACAGTGCAGCCACACTACTGATGCCAACACCGACTGTGTCTCCCACTTCTCAAGAGCTATTAAAATTTAAATACGATATTAAGAGTAACTACATTTATTGACCATTTTCTGGGTTCCAGGCCCTTCATATACGTATCTGTGAGCTAGCTACTACTGACCCCGTTTTACAGATGCAGAAACTGAGACTTGGACAGTCTCAAGACTCTCCAATTGCTCAAGAACTCACATATTGTAAATGGCAAACTGGGATGATAAACCTAGGTCTCCTTAATCCAAAACCTGTGCTCCTGGCCAGCCCCTCCCCCTGAGGGTTTCCTTACCTGAGGGACCTGAGATGGGTTGTAAAGAGGAACAGTCCCTTTTAAGGCAGGTGGAGGAAGCAGAACACCAGGGTTGGAGCAGAGCTCAAAGGAAACACTCTGTGATAGAAAAGCATGGAAAATCCCATCAGTGCCCGCCTCCCAGATTCCAGAATGTTGAGGCTTTCAAGAAGCACATCAGGATTGTTTGGTTTTTTTCTCGGTGATTTCTTTGAGTTCCTTATTGACTCTCCAAAGGACATAAACAGAAATTTCTCAAAAGAAGAAATGGCCAATAAACAAATGAAAAAAATGTTCAACATCAATAATCTTCAGGGAAATGCAAATTAAAACCACAATGAGACACCATCTTACTCCTGCAAAAATGACCATAACTAAAATGTCAAAAAATAATAGATGTTGGCACGGATGTGGGGAAAAGGGAACACTTCTACACTTCTACACTGCTGGTGGGAATGTAAATTAGTTCAACCTCTGTGAATAACAGTATGAAGATTCCTTAAAGAGCTAAAAGTAGAACTACCATTCGATCTAGCAATCCCACTACTGGGTATCGGCCCAAAAGAAAAGAAATCATTATTTGAAAAATACGCTTGCACAAGTATGTTTATAGGAGCACAATTCACAATTACAAAATGTGGAACCAACCTAAGCACCCATTGACTAATGAGCATGTAAAGAAAATGTGGTATACATATACGATGGAATACACTCAGTCATTAAAATGAACAAAATAATGTTTTTGCAGTAACTTGGATGGAGCCAGAGGCCATTATTCTAAGTGAAGTACACAGGAGTGGAAAACCAGGAACCATATGTTCTCACTTATAAGTGGGGAGCTATGAGTACGTGAAGACATACAGAGCGACATAATGGACTTCAGAGACTCAGAAGGGGAAGAGGGGGAGGAGGGTCAGGGATTAAAAAAAACTACACATTAGGTACAACCCACATCCATGCCAACACTGCTTGGGTGATGGGTGCAATAAAATGTCAGAATTCACCACTATATAATTCCTCTAGGTAACCAAAAACCACTTGGGCCCCAAAAGCTACTGAAATGTTTTAAAAGAGAACCATATCAGAAGGATTTCTTAATAGAACTCAGGGAATCTCAAGCAAGCCAACATGGTTCAAGTGGACACATCCAACCCGTGGGTCTGGAGTGGCAATACTGACAAAAAGAAAAAGCCTCAATAAATTATATTGATACCATCATAAAAAGTAATATAACCTTCAAAAGGCCTAAAATTATACAAGCGTTATCTAACCAGGCTTAAAGAAATAAAAATGTTTTCCTAGCAATAGATATGAGATCCATACTAATGTGGACAACTCATCAAGAAGTTACCATAGCCCTGGACAAGGTCTCCAGTGAACTCTGCCTCTTCCTGGGACAGGTAAAAAGGCAATTCCCCAGGCTTCCCCTGAGGAAGCTGTTATAGGTTGAAATGTGTTCCCAGAAAAAAAAAAATCACATGTTGAAGCCCTAGCCCCCAGTACCTCAGAAAACATATGTTTGGAGAAACATGAAAATACAACATTTGGAGATGGGCTCTTTAAAGAGGCAATTAACATAAATGGAGGTCATATTGGCAGCCCAATCCAGTATGACTGATGTCCCTATAAGAGGAGGAAATCTGAACACAGACATGCTCAGAGGAAAGGCCGTGTGAAGACGAAGAAAGAAGATGGCCAGGCACAAGCCAGGTCATCTTTTCCTCAAAAGAAATCTGGACCTCAGCTTTCAGCCTGCAGAACTGTGAGAAATTAGGTTTCTGTGGTCTGAGCCTCCGTTCTGTGGTACTTTGCTATGACGACCTGAGCAAACTAACACAGCAGAGAAGCATTCCTCATGTTCCCCAGGAGTCAGCACTGTCCACACTGAAGGTTCAGTCCTCACACACAGGCATCTGCTGGGGTCCGAGGCTCCAGCCCAGGGGCTGCTCACCTCAGGTCCAGACAAGCCTCCAACCCCAGCACCCGCAGCTGCTCCCCCACTGGATGTGGATCCTTGGCCTTCACCCCCACCTGGAAAGCAATGAGTCAGAACTGTTTCCTCTGCTCAGGACTGGGGGTCCCCACTCCCAGAAGGCACCCCCACCCTTGGGAGCGCTGAGGGGACCACCCATGGCCCAGAGGACGCGAGGTGGCAGTACCTGTGCCCACGGAGAAGGCGCTAAGAGTTGGCAGAGGGGGGGACTCAGGAGAGGGTGTCAGTGAGAGGCCCAGGCCAGCCTGGTGGGGAGAAGATGCTCTGGGGGTCTCCCGCTTTGTGGAGAAAGAAACGCAGCATTGGCGACATTGGTGGTTAACAAATTCACGCCCACCCACTTGCGTTCCCACACTCAGGATGGCGGCCTTGCCACAAACTGCTGCTGGGTACTCCCCAAAACCCCCTCTCCGCATTCCACTCTTCTGCTCAGTAATCCACACTAGCTCCCTCCTGCTGACCCTCTAAAGTTACATTTCTTCATCCTAACTTTGTAAAGCTTTTATAATCTGCCTTGCCCCCACAGGACCAATTCATTTCCCACCATCTTCTGTCACAAAACCTCTGTCTCGTGTGGCCTGGGGTGGAGTCAGGTGCCAGCTCTGAGAGCTCCTAGGTGCTAAGGCAGCTCCCTCTGAAAGACCCACAGACAGAGGCATCCTCTCCCTTCCACAGAGCCTACCTCACAGTCAGGGCTGTCCGAGGAGTCCTCCTCTCCAGAGGGAGATGCGTTCTTGGTGGGCTTCGATCGAAACCAGCTGAACCAGCCAAACCCTGAGCTCTGGAAGGGGAAGAGGACATTTTATGACCTGCAGGTTTGCTTCTCCCCCTGACTATGAGGTTAACCCGCCCCCATGTGACAGTCAGAGCCCAGACTTCCAAGTCTGCACCACCCTTAAGGAAGGGATTGGCAGGGGGAGGAAGGCCGGGGAGAGAAGAACAAGTCCCTCCACCTTTGTATGCTCCTTCCCATCTCCGAGCTTGCCTCTCCGGGCAGTATTTTGGGGAGAGTTTTTATCAGCCTCATCGGAGGACTCCTCCTCATCCTCCTTGGTTGAATTGGTGGAACTCTCAGAAATACTTGGTGCTCTGGCAGCCAGCGGTGTCTGGAATTAAAGAAAGAACTCACATTTGCATGGCACTTGACAGGTTACCAAACACATGTGCACATACTCCCTCACCTGACCTGCTCAGAAGCAGTGGGATTGTCTCTCAGAATCGTATTGTACTGAAGAGGAAGGAAGGCTTAGCCATGCAAAATGACTTGCTGAAGGTCGCAGGATAAAGTCAGAGCCCAAGCCCATGTTATCCCTAATCTTACAGACCTTGTCTGTGGTGCCACCTCTCCAGAAACATACAGTTTTCAGAACTATGCCAAGGCCTGGAGCAGGAGTTATGGACTGCTACTGCTGGAGATGAAGAGGGCCAGAAAACACCCCACAGAGGCCCACAAGCCCCCCCAAAGAAAACAGAGAACGTAGCAACCACCAAACATAACTCGTCTTAGAGCTCATTTCCTAACAGACTTGCTCAAGATCAACTGCGAACATATGCGCCAGAGAGGGGTAAAATACACCCACATCCCTTTACATTAACTTTTTGTTGTGGTGGTGGTAAGATAGATACAAAATAAATTTTGCCATTTTAACTATTTTTAAATGTGCAATTCAGTGGCAGTAAGTATACACACAGTGTCGTACAACCATCACCACTAGCTGTCACCAGAACTTTTTCATCATCCCCATTACATAACTCCCCATTTGCCCCTCCCCCAGGCCCTGGTCACTGCTATTCCACTTCTGTCTCTGAGTTTGCCTATTCTATGTGTCTCACATAGGTGGAGTCACACGACATATTGCCCTTTTCTGTAATATTTACATTTTTCATTCTCAATAAAACACAATTGATACAAACCTTAGGAAATACTTCGGCAAAATAAAGAAAAAAACTTTATTTTTTATTCAAATGAATATAGTGTTGACTTTGTGCCAGGCACTGTTCTAAGGGCTTTATATGTAGTGATGCATTTAATCCTTACAATAGTCCTGTGAGCTAGGTGCTATTATTATCTCATTTTATATATGAGAAAACTAAGGCACAGAAAGGTGAAGCAACCTGTCTCGGGTCACCCAGCTCATAAATGGCGGAGCAAAGGCTAAAGGTAGGCTGTCTGGCTTTCCTTCAAGGAATTTCTCCTAAGTGAATGATTCAAGACATAGACAAGGGCTTATATATTTGTCTATATAAGTATATAGTGCTGGATGCCCAGCACTGTGTGTTATATATGAGTGAGAAAAGGAAGGAGGAATGGAGGGAGGGAGGGGAAAGAATGCAACACTCACAATGATTAACGACAACACGGGAATAATCAACCAGAATGCGAGCTCCTTACTGTGGTCATGGAGGCCCCGTAAGCTTGCCTCTGCTGCCCTCCAGCCTTTTTTCTCAGCCCTCTTCCCTACTCTCCCCACTCTCAGGGCAGAGTGGCTCCCTTGATCTCCCTTAACTACACCAAGGGAGCCACTGCAGGGCCTCCAGTCCTGCTGTTTCTCTGCCTCGAATGCCTTTCCGCTAGATATTCACCTGGCTCATTTCCATGCTCCATCCTGATCTCCACTTGAAGGCCTCCTCAGTGACACCTTCCTTGGCCACTCCTCTGAAGTGAGATGCCTGGCACATATACTTGTCTATGTTTAGTCACTTCCACTAGACTTCAGCACCTGAGGGAAGGCTTGGGCTGACGTGCTGATGCCACCCCAGCCCCTGTGACAGGGCCTGGCACATTGTAGGAACTCAGTGAATATTTTGAATAAATGAATGAATAGCGCTACTTTCATAAAATGAATTTTGCCATGCCAATATTAAAAATCATATTTATAGGGGGCACCAAGATGGCCAAATAAGAACAGCTCCAGCCTCCAGCTCCCAACGTGAGCAACACAGAAGATGGGTGATTTCTGCATTTCCAACTGAGCCTCCGCTGCTGATACTCAGGCAAACAGGGTCTGGAGTGGACCTTCAGCAAACTCCAACAGACCTGCAACTGAGGGTCCTGACTGTTAGAAGGAAAACTGACAAACAGAAAGGACAACCACAGCAAAACCCCATCTGTACGTCACCATCATCAAAGACCAAAGGTAGATAAAACCACAAAGATAGGGAAAAAGCAGTGAGGGAAAGCTGAAAATTCAAAAAATCAGAGCGCCTCACCCCCTCCAAAGGAGCATATCTCCTTGCCAGCAACGGAACAAAGCTGGACGGAGAATGACTTTGACAAGTTGAGAGAAGGCTTCAGTCAATCAAACTTCTCAGAGCTAAAGGAGAAACTATGAACCCAGTGCAAAGAAACTAAAAACCTTGAAAAAAAGATTTGACAAATGGATAACTAGGATAACCAATGCAGAGAAGTCCATAAATGACCTGATAGAGATGAAAACCATGATACGAGAACTATGTGACAAATGCACAAGCTTCAGTAACTGACTCGATCAACTGGAAGAAAGAGTATCAGTGATTGAAGATCAAATGAATGAAATGAAGCAAGAAGAGAAGTTTAGAGAAAAAAGAGTAAAAAGAAATGAACAAAGCCTCCAAGAAAGATGGGATTATGTGAAAAGATCATATCTACGTCTGATAGGTGTACCTGAAAGTGACGGGGAGAATGCAACCAAGTTGAAAAACACTCTACAGGATATCATCCAGGAGAACTTCCCCAACCTAGCAATGCAGGCCAACATTCAAATTTAGGAAATACAGAGAACGCCACAGAGATACTCCTCGAGAAGAGCAACTTCAAGACACATAATTGTCAGATTCACCAAAGTTGAAATGAAGGAAAAAATGTTAAGGGCAGCCAGAGATAAAGGTCGGGTTACCCACAAAGGGAAGTCCATCAGACTAACAGCAGATCTCTCAGCAGAAACTCTCCAAGCCAGAAGAGAGTGGGGGCCGATATTCAACATTCTTAAAGAAAAGAATTTTCAACCCAGAATTTCATATCCAGCCAAACTAAGTTTCATAAGAGAAGGAGAAATAAAATCCTTTACAGACAAGCAAATGCTAAGAGATTTTCTCACCACCAGGCCTGCCCTACAAGAGCTCCTGAAGGAAGCACTAAACATGGAAAGGAACAACCATTCCATGTTGGAATGTACCAGCCATTGCAAAAACATGTCAAAATGTAAAGACCATCGATGCTAGGAAGAAACTGCATCAACTAACAAGCAAAATAACCAGCTAACATCATAATGACAGGATCAAGTTCACACATGACAATATTAACCTTAAATGTAAAAGGGCTAAATAGTCCAATTAAAAGACACAGACTGGAAAATTGGATAGAGTCAAGACCCATCAGTTTGCTGTATTCAGGAGACCTATCTCACATGCAGAGACACGCATAGGCTCAAAATAAAGGGATGGAGGAAGATCTACCAAGCAAATGGAAAACAAAAAAAGGCAGGGGTTGCAATCATAGTCTCTGATAAAACAGACTTTAAACCAACAAAGATCAAAAGAGACAAAGAAGGCCATTGCATAATGGTAAAGGGATCAATTCAACAAGAAGAGTTAACTATCCTAAATATATATACACCCAATAGGAGCACCCAGATTCATAAAGCAAGTCCTTAGAGACTTACAAAGAGGCTCAAACTCCCACAATAACAATGGGAGACTTTAACACCCCACTGTCAACATTAGATGATCAACAAGACAGAAAGTTAACAAGGATATCCAGGAATTGAACTCAACTCTGCACCAAGTGGACCTAATAGACATCTACAGAACTCTCCACCCCAAATCAACAGAATATACATTCTTCTCAGCACCACATTACACTTATTCAAAAGTTGATCACATAGTTGGAAGTAAAGCACTCCTCAGCAAATGTAAAATAACAGAAATTATAAAAAACTATCTCTCAGACCACAGTGCAATCAAACTAGAACTCAGGACTAAGAAACTCAATCAAAACCGCTCAATTACATGGAAACAGAACAACCTGCTCCTGAATGACTACTGGGTACATAACAAAATGAAGGCAGAAATAAAGATGTTCTTTGAAATCAGTGAGAACCAGATACAACATGCCAGAATCTCTGGGACACATTTGAAGCAGTGTGTAGAGGGAAATTTATAGCACTAAATGCCCACAAGAGAAAGCAGGAAAGATCTAAAATTGTCACCCCAACATCACAATTAAAAGAACTAGAGAAACAAGAGCAAACAAATTCAAAAGCTAGCAGAAGGCAAGAAATAACTAAGATCAGAGCAGAACTGAAGGCGATAGAGACACAAAAAAACCCTTCAAAAAATCAATGAATCCAGGAGCTGGTTTTTTGAAAAGATCAACAAAATTGATAGACTGCTAGCAAACTAATAAAGAAGTAAAGAGAGAAGAATCAAATAGATGCAATAAAAAATGATAAAGTGGATATCACCACCGACCCCACAGAAATACAAACTACCATCAGAGAATACTAAAAACACCTCTACGCAAATAAACTAGAAAACCTAGAAGAAATGGATAATTTCCTGGACACTTACACTCTCCCAAGACTAAACCAGGAAGAAGTTGAATCCCTGAATAGACCAATAGAAGGCTCTGAAATTGAGACAATAATTAATAACCTACCAAACAAAAAAAGTCCAGGACAAGATGGATTCACAGCCGAATTCTACCAGAGGTACAAGGAGGAGGTGGTACCATTCCTTCTGAAACTATTCCAATCAATAGAAAAAGAGGCAATCCTCCCTAACTCATTTTATAAGGCCAACGTCATCCTGATACCAAAGCCTGGCAGAGACACAACCAAAAAGAGAATTTTAGATCAATATCCCTGATGAACATCGATGCAAAAATCCCCAGTAAAATACTGGTAAACCAAATCCAGCAGCACATCAAAAAGCTCATCCACCATGATCAAGTGGGCTTCATCCCTGGGATGCAAGGCTGGTTCAACATACGCAAATCAATAAATGTAATCCAGCACATAAATAGAACCAAAGGCAAAAACCACATGATTATCTCAATAGATGCAGAAAAGACCTTTGACAAAATTCAACAGCCCTTCATGCTAAAAACGCTCAATAAATTCGGTATTGATGGAACGTATCTCAAAATAATA